AAGTCAAATCTGTGTCTAGTCTGACAAGTGGATAAGGGGAAAATGGACACATGAAAAGAAAATTGGATCAAACTTACGAAAATGACATTTTCGGAGAAAAGAGGAGGGAAAAGATGGAAGAAAAGTAAATTTGGCTTCGGGTGATGTCGAGATGAGAAAACTAAGTAAGACGTGAAGGAGTAAGGAGTTCTGGCCTAACTGAAGCTCCTTTCAAGAGAGTGGGTGATTGCTAATAGCATTCGAGACGTGGGTCTGCTGTTACTATTAAAATGAGTCTTTGGGCTTCGCTAATGGCGTTAAAACACATCGATAGGATTTATCCTTCTTAAAATTGAAAAACAGAAAGCGATACATTACTACTTTGATTGCTGAAACCGGCCTTAAGAGCAGTTTTTACCGGTGCCACCTGCAACTTACCTAATACCATCCCATTTATTGTCTCCATTATGTAAATCGAAGTCTGCATAGAATGATGCTCCCATTGTACACAACTAGATTTTGAAGTGAACTCAAAAGCATTTTGCAGCACTGACAAGGAGAGGGAGAGCAATGAGAATTGTGGTGATATGTAGTTTCTGGAAATAACTCTGGTAACCTAGAAATAAAGTGGAGATTAAAACTAGTGCACAGCGGCTAGATATACCAATGAGAAATATCTAGACTGGAAGTTGGTTTGCTTCTTTTTGTATTTACTGGTCAGATATTGATTAAGCTGGGAACTTTAGGTTATCAGACATTGCTATTATTTTGTTCACACCCGGGCATCCAAGAAAATCCATTTTAATCAAAAATTTTTATCTTGCAACCTTGGAACGTAATAGGCCAATCGTATTACTGCACTTGTGGAATTTAACGATCTCACTCCTCAGTCGCTTCTGATCATTTATGGAAATGGTTTTTAACTATAAAGCTGGCAGTAACTTGATGGGTTCTAAAAATCTGATTGCATTTACGGTTTGTGAGTTGGAATTAACATTACTGGAGTAAATGCTTTTTAAATGCATTTAAGTGAAAATCGCATTTGCAATGCCTTTCCCGCTGACATATTGCATAAAATAGGGGTTCTCATGTCCAAGCCTCTTTGAATAAAATCAGACTCCATTATTCAGAGAACAAGGATTTATTCTCAGTTGACCCTAAATTTACAAAGTGGAATGCGAAGTGAAACTCATCTAAATAACTTGGCTAAAATAATAATTTGGTGAAAATTTACCTGCAATCAACTACAGTAAAGATTAAATGAGAAAAGGACTTGGACATCATTCAGTTTCTTTGGCTTACTTACCACCTCAATGTTTGCATTTTTAAGTGGTATGTAAATCTTTCAGAAGTGCATCTAAATCCATAACACTAGTTGGATTTACCCATATTCATATATTGATTAGACTCGCTCCATCAACACGAGTAATTATTTCTGTGTAATTGAGGCATAATATGCATATTGCGGTGTATGCCATAATTTGAGGTGCCAGACTGCCAAATTATTCATTTTCGTAAGTCATTCCTTCAAACACTTCCCAGTACACTTTTAATTAGGAAAATTATATGCAAAAAAGTGGTAAATATAACATACCTGTCCCACTTTGGCTTCGGGTGATGTCGAGATGAGAAAACTAAGTAAGACGTGAAGGAGTAAGGAGTTCTGGCCTAACTGAAGCTCCTTTCAAGAGAGTGGGTGATTGCTAATAGCATTCGAGACGTGGGTCTGCTGTTACTATTAAAATGAGTCTTTGGGCTTCGCTAATGGCGTTAAAACACATCGATAGGATTTATCCTTCTTAAAATTGAAAAACAGAAAGCGATACATTACTACTTTGATTGCTGAAACCGGCCTTAAGAGCAGTTTTTACCGGTGCCACCTGCAACTTACCTAATACCATCCCATTTATTGTCTCCATTATGTAAATCGAAGTCTGCATAGAATGATGCTCCCATTGTACACAACTAGATTTTGAAGTGAACTCAAAAGCATTTTGCAGCACTGACAAGGAGAGGGAGAGCAATGAGAATTGTGGTGATATGTAGTTTCTGGAAATAACTCTGGTAACCTAGAAATAAAGTGGAGATTAAAACTAGTGCACAGCGGCTAGATATACCAATGAGAAATATCTAGACTGGAAGTTGGTTTGCTTCTTTTTGTATTTACTGGTCAGATATTGATTAAGCTGGGAACTTTAGGTTATCAGACATTGCTATTATTTTGTTCACACCCGGGCATCCAAGAAAATCCATTTTAATCAAAAATTTTTATCTTGCAACCTTGGAACGTAATAGGCCAATCGTATTACTGCACTTGTGGAATTTAACGATCTCACTCCTCAGTCGCTTCTGATCATTTATGGAAATGGTTTTTAACTATAAAGCTGGCAGTAACTTGATGGGTTCTAAAAATCTGATTGCATTTACGGTTTGTGAGTTGGAATTAACATTACTGGAGTAAATGCTTTTTAAATGCATTTAAGTGAAAATCGCATTTGCAATGCCTTTCCCGCTGACATATTGCATAAAATAGGGGTTCTCATGTCCAAGCCTCTTTGAATAAAATCAGACTCCATTATTCAGAGAACAAGGATTTATTCTCAGTTGACCCTAAATTTACAAAGTGGAATGCGAAGTGAAACTCATCTAAATAACTTGGCTAAAATAATAATTTGGTGAAAATTTACCTGCAATCAACTACAGTAAAGATTAAATGAGAAAAGGACTTGGACATCATTCAGTTTCTTTGGCTTACTTACCACCTCAATGTTTGCATTTTTAAGTGGTATGTAAATCTTTCAGAAGTGCATCTAAATCCATAACACTAGTTGGATTTACCCATATTCATATATTGATTAGACTCGCTCCATCAACACGAGTAATTATTTCTGTGTAATTGAGGCATAATATGCATATTGCGGTGTATGCCATAATTTGAGGTGCCAGACTGCCAAATTATTCATTTTCGTAAGTCATTCCTTCAAACACTTCCCAGTACACTTTTAATTAGGAAAATTATATGCAAAAAAGTGGTAAATATAACATACCTGTCCCACT